AGAACCCGAGGGAACAGCCGGGCACGGAAGCGTAGTAGAGAGGTAAGTAATGACTGGTCCCGAAGTGGGATCAGCCAGTGCTATAAAGACTGGCGTAGGAAGCGGAGTAAGAGTCGTGTGGTCGCGGAAGAAATACTGCGAAGCTCCGGAGTCCATGGTGAAAGACAGCGAAGCGTCCGCCGGAGTAGCACTTGGACGAGTACCTAAGCAAGTACCTACACTAGGAACTGGCACAGGATCAATACTAGCACCTAAGCTAAAAACACGCGAGCAAACGGAGTCAGAAGCACTAGAGTCAACAACAGCATACATAGCATTTGCAGTTCCTAAGAGTTCAAGTAACTGAGAAGCAGACATGTCCCACAGTGCGGGACCGTGCGAGAGAACAAGGGGAAGCCAGTCAGGGGCAGGGCCGTCTGCGTCGTAGGCCGCGCGAAGTCTGTCAGTGAGCTGAGCAAAGCACTGACCCGCTGGGTGATGGTGGTCGCAGCGAAGGCCACTGCGAGTACCTGTCTGGATGAGGTAGGGGCAGGGTGGGTGTGCGTCACCACGCGACAGTTGACGCGGTCCTGACCCGTGCCTCTGAACCTGCTGCTGCCCCTGCTGCTGCTGTGGCTGCTGCGAGAGCAGTGGCTGCTGCTGCTGCCGCTGCTGCTGCTGCTGCTGCTGCTGCTGCTGCTGCTGCTGCTGCTGCTGCTGCTGCTGCTGCTGCTGCTGCTGCTGCTGCTGCTGCTGCTGCTGCTGCTGCTGCTGCTGCTGCTGCTGCTGCTGCTGCTGCTGCTGCTGCTGCTGCTAAGCCAGGTACCAGGCCGCCACCCCAGCACTTGCAGCTGGGAGCCCCGCAGGTGCCCGGCGAACCCGAGCGTCACCTCCACCAGCTGCAGCAGGGGAGCCACTAGAAGTTGCACGAGGCGCTCCACCAACACCTCCACTCCCGCCACCGCCACTCGCCACGCCACCTCCGCCGCCTCCGCTGATGGCTGCACCCTGGCCGCCCCTCCTGCCACTCCTAACTCTAGACAGCAGCCGCGGTCTCGTCAGTAGCGGTAGCGGCGAGGGAGGCAGTAAAGGTGGGCAGCTGTGGGACAGTGCACTCGTGGAACAATGGGGGAGACACAGCGCCAGAGGCGGAGGCTACCGAGCGGAGGTTTCTCTCGACGTCATTGAGTGCAGACTCAAGGACCTCGATAGTGAGCTTGCTAGGGTGCTTCAGAAGAAGCGCGTCGCAAACTGTGGCAAGGCGGTCAGGGAGGCTAGTGACGATCAAATAAATAGTAATCGCCATGGGGGGGGGGGGGGGCGCAGTGGAAGCTGTGCATCAGTGCAGGCAGCGCAGTAGCTAGAATCCAGAGAACGCAGGTGAGCGATCAGGTCAGCAGAACGCTCAAACGAGGCGAGGTCAGGAAACAGGAACGGGAGGAACAGGCGACCAAGAGAGACAGTGGTGGGAGTGGAGTAGCGGGCCTTGATCGCAGTCAGAAACTCGCTAGCAGTGCAAACCTGTGTGAAGTGGGTCTCCTCAGACTCAGGGAGGAGGCTGCTGAGGGCGATGCAGGCCGCGGCGTCGCGCGTCTTCCAGGCTGTCAGAGCAGCGCTGACATGCAAAACGCTCTCTGTCCGCAGTGGTGGGGTCAGCGCCTAGGGGTTCAGGAGCAGGGGGCGCAAGAAGGTCACCGGAGGCGTGCGCCCAGAGGGACTCGTCAGCCTAACACTGACTCTCTAGCAGGCGCTGCGCACGGAGGAGCCAGACAGAGAACTCCAACGGCCTACCCTCGGCATCAAAGCGCAGGACCCTAGGCGCCGCCATAGCTGATGCGGAGGGGAGGGAGCTACGGCTGCCAGGCGCCTAGAAGGCCTGAGCAGGGCAAGACAGGCAGGGCGCTAGGAGCACAAGAGGCAGGGCGGCACAGGCGCGACGGGTAGAGCGCAAGGCGCATCAGGGACGGGTAGGGCGCGACGCGACGGGCAGGTAGGCGCGACGGGACGGCAGGGTAGGCACGACGGGACGGGTAGGGCGCGGCGCGACAGGACGGGTAGGGCGCGGCGCGACGAGCAGGGAGGCTCGACGAGACAGGCAGGGCGCGACGCGACGGGACGGGCAGGGCGCGACGCGACAGGACGGGCAGGGCGCGACGCGAGGGGCAGGGAGGCGCGACGGGCGCGAGGGGACGGGACAGGACGGGCGCGACGGGCGCTAGGGGACGGGACGGGCACGACGGTAGGGCGCTACGTGCGTGGTAGGCTAGGCGCAACGGGCACGAGCGGGTCAAGTGCGGGTCAAGTGGGAGGAACGGGATCCAACAAGATCCTAACCTAGGTGATACCATGTCAGAAACGGAATGATGTCTGTATTGCTGTGAGTTGGGGTACATATACCTAGCCCTAACAACTGTACCCCACATGACATGCCTAACTACAGGCTACAACATTTGACAGTCCTGCGCAGTCTGGTGTATCGCACGTGTCACCCCCTTCTATTGATTGGGCCTATGGGGGAGTCCGCTGAATCTAGAGGTCCAGTACGTGAGGGTGTGCCTCCTATGTCGGCACCTTTGCCGCTCCTCCCCCCCCCTCCTCCCTCCCCCCCCCCCCCCCCCCCCTCCTCCCTCCTCCCCCCCCTTCCCCCGTTCCCCGCCCTCGTCGCAACCATTGCCGCAAACTATGCCGTCACCAACGCCGTACTCGTAGTCGCCGCAACAGCCTGCAGGAGGGGGGGCCGCTAGAGGGGGCCGCAAGGGGGGGGGGGTGGGGGCGCTATAGGGCCGAGGGGCAGCTAGAGAGATAGGTGGGGCGGAAGCGAGGGAGCTAACCTACTCGTGATACCATGTTAGAAACAGAATGAATTATGATGAACACATAACATGTAGTACAATCCAACCTAGCCTACAAAATATACATGCAAACAAGCAATGTCATAGTGATGACCCTGGTGGGAAGTTATATATACGGGGTTGGAAGAAGAGGGCGGTTTCAATGTGGCGGCGACTCCGAAGTCTGGATAGCGATGGTACAGTACATCATGGTGACTTCGCCATGTTTGTTTTCTTCTACGGTTGAAATGATCAATGCATCTGCCATTCGACGAGTTTGTGGATGCCAAGAATAATCGTCAATTGTCCGTTTGAGACACGTCACTGCAGCTCATCCATTACGTGGCATGTTGAGAAGCTGCATGGAGCTGAGGTATCCACGCAGTGTGAGGGAAAAGGAGGATTTCATTGGTTTGAGTGGGGACAACTGGTGGCCACACCGACATTAGCGATTCGGGACACCTGCGCTGGGAGCAGAGCCCTCATCAGGGTTGGCGATTTGGGGCACTTCCCCAACCCGTTTCTCGTTTGACTTGGAAGAATTTTGTTTTGTTGGCATTCCGATGTAAATGAAACACCGCTTTCAACCTAAATGGAGCTGGACGTGGAATGGGAGGAGAGGGGGGAGGGAGTGGGGAGGGGGGTAGAATGGTTTGAAATATTTTTTTTGACTGGAACTAGTTCAAGACCACTTCTCGTGTACTATGGTGCTCATATTAATCACTGTGGGTATCTATTTACACCCCCCTCAAAATTCGGTGTATTGCGGGAGGTGGGGCTGGTCGAGATCCTTATTGGGTTTACACCACCCAACCACTCATGAAGGCGGCAGCTGGACAAGGCCAGTGAGGGAGGGAGGGAGAAGTGAAGAGCAGAATCAAGGAAAGTAGAAGTGGACGTGGCATTTGAAGTGTGTACAGACAACCAAATCAAGGAGCTTGTTTTCCTCGAACTTCACTTTCGCGCATGCGAGCTCGCACGCGAATTTCCCCATGCGGTGGCGAAATCGCCTGTCCAATCTGCTGGTTTCTTCGCACACACGAAGACCACCTCATTGCATTCGGCAATCAAAGCCAACGAGGTTACGTTTGTCGCCAACCTGCACGCGCCCATCGCCCGCTGCTGAATCTAGCCTTAGGGAAGCTGCCACTGCCTGTTGTGACTCCCTCGCACTGCACCAGTGCGAGTCGGTCGAGCTGTCCGTCGTCCATCTTTCACTGGGCTCAGCACACCTCACTCGATTCTCTCTTCTGAGCCTTATTTTCTGCCAGCTCTTCTCGTCTCTCACGCTCCGTCCGTCGCTCTTGGCCAACACCTTGCTGGTTCCTCCTTTCGTCAGCTGAGCCTGTGGAACCGCTCTCCGCTCTTTCTCGCCCTTCGAAGTTTCAAGGGTGGCCATCCGTACCATCCTTTCCATCCCATCCGTTCCCGCTTTCGTCGCTCTAACTACAAACAAACTTCCGTTTCACGCCTTTGTCAACACCGTGATCACGCGTTTCGCAATCGCAATCGCTCCCACCTCGCCATCGCCAGGCCACCGCTTAGCAGAGCGTCACCACTCAAATCGCTGCGGCCGTTCCGAGCAGCTAAAGTCGTTTTCGCCGCAAGGAGATGTTGCAGGGCCTCCGCCGTTGGCTCATCTCCCGTTACCCCGGCGACAGCGGCGCCTGGTTCCTAGAGCGGAGACTGTGCCACGTCAGCGAGCGTTTTTTCCGCGACGGAGACGAGGAGGAGCCACCTGAAAGTTAATAGTCGTGTCCTGAGAGCGGGAGAGGTTACCGGCGGTACAGGCGTGGCAGCCGCAGGAGCGAAATTCATCAGTTTGGGAGATCTCAGCCGTCCGTCCGGTTGGCATTCGCGCGATATTAGAGCAACTTCGTTGGCGCAGGGAGCGCGCAGGCGGTGAAATCTGCGCGGAACACGCGGAGACGTGGCGTACGAAACCACGTGGAAGCTAGTGTTAGTACTAGTACAAGTACCACTACCACTATACGAGTAGTAGTAGCACAACGGGCGTGGGGGTTGCGTTGGCGTGTACAGTTGAGGCGATCTATATTGTGGAACGGAGAGCCTGCTCTGACGCACACACGGACGACTCGAAGGCCACGTTCTGTGCGCAGAAAAATTCTGGGGCCTGCCGCGCGTTGCTGCGGCTCCGAACGTCTGAAGGAAGATCTTCGGAAGCCGCTCATGGCGCTGGTTCTCGCCGCTACGTCCAATTCCCCCGTCGCCGCCGCCGCCTCCGCCACCGTCGCCGCCGCAACAGCAGAAACACCAGCGTCGACAGTCGTCTCTGCTTCTGCTGCAGCAGAACGTAGCAGCCCCTGCCGCAAGCGCCGCCACGTGTTCGATGGAGCCGATGGCGGCGCCGCATGCACTACGAGAAGCTCGCCGCCGACCGCCGACCACGCCGCCGCTGACCGCGCCGCCGCTGGTAAAGCTTCTCCAGGCTCTGCGACCAATGCCGTCGGTGGCGCCGTCGCCATGTCGCATGCGGCCGCCGGCGAAGCCGTGCGACGCGTGGGGACGGGGATTTCTCTCAAGCGCCTCAAGACGGAGAGCCGCGCGCGCAGCTGGGCGGCCAGCGGAGCTTCGCCGCGCGGCGCATCAGGCGCGCGCCAAGGCGCCGGAAAGAGCGGCGGAAATGCGCGCGCCGCATCCTCTGCCAGCGGAGCTCACGGAAGGGGCGGCGGAGCGGGTCCGACCGCGTCTGCCGCCACGACCAACGGAGGCGGAGAGCTAGCCGTCGCCTTGTCCGATGGCGGCGGCGTCGGCGGAGGCGGAGGCGTTGGCAACCTTACCGCAGGAGGCGCCGCGGTGACCCCGCACCGCGACCGTCACAGCAAGGTGCAGACGTCGAAGGGGCTCCGCGACCGGCGCGTGCGCCTGTCCGTCCCCGCGGCGCTCGCGTTCTACGACGTGCAGGACCGGCTCGGCGCGGACCACCCGTCGGAAGCGCTGGAGTGGCTGCTGATGCACGCCGCGCAAGCCATCGCGCACCTCCCCTCCGCTCAGCCGCATGGCGGCGGTGGCGGCGGCGATGGCTCCGCGGGACGCGCGACGGCGACCACCGTAACGGCAATGGCAACGGCGGCGGCGGCGGCTCTGTCGACGGGCACGTCGCTCCCTGCCCCTGCTGCTGGCAACGCCCGTGCAGCTGCGCGCGCTGCTGGGAGGGGAACTGGCGCAGGGGCGGCTGGTACTGGTGCTGCTGCGAGGACTGCCGCTGCTGCCGCTGGCGTCGATAGTGGAGTGACTTCCGAGCCACCTGCAGCAGCTGCACTTCCCGCACAATCATCACGTTCTGTGCCTGCTTTGTCCGCGCCTGTGCCGTCGATTCCCACCAGAGCCGGCAGCACCGGGTGCTCGCCTGCGCTTGCTTGCGCTGCCCTCACTCCCAGGAGACTCGCCTCCCCTCTCGCGCTTCCTCCTCCCATCCCCCCTCCTCCCGCTGCTCCTTCCGTTGCTGCTCCTGCCGCTGCTGCTGCTGCTCCTGGTGGTGCGGCCAGCCGTTGCCTTTCCCAGGTGCACCTGCCTGCACAGCACCAGGCAAGCTCTGCAGCGGGCACAGCAGCAGCGCTGGCGGCAAGTGTGGGTGGGCGGCGGCAGCAGAACCACGTGGTGTTCGCGCTGCCTGCCACGCCTGCTTCATCCGCACCTGCCGCTACCGGTGCTGGTACTAGCACTGCTGCTGCTGCTGCTGCTGCATCAGCATCCGTTGCTGCTGCTTCTGCTGCCGTGTCTGGTGGTCCTGGTGGGTCCACGTCCCTCACTGGCGGTGCTGCTGCTGCTGCTGCTGCTGGTGGTGCTGCTGGTACTTGCTCAGAAAGAGAGGGTGGCAGGATGGGAGGAGAGGCTATGAGCGTGTGTGTGTCCGGGCCATGTGCCACGACAACCACGACCACAAACAACAATGGCGCTGCTGCTGGCAACGCTGGCAAGAGCAACAACGTATACGGCGAGAGCAAACAGGCAGACGGCAACATCGCTGCTGCTTCTGCTTCTGCTCCTGCTCCTGCTGCTGCTGCTGCCACCACCACAACGACAACCACCACTACAAGTGGCAGTCAGCAGTATGAGCAGGAGCAGAAGGGGAAGCACTCACTGCGGCCACTGCATAAGCGCACCCGTGTCTGCTACAGCAGCCACGCCAGCGCCCATCGCCATAGCTCCAACACTCACCAGTATAGCCACCAGCAACAGCAGCACCACCTGCACCTCCCCCACCATTCGCACCAGTCTCACCATTTGCACCAGTCCCTTCGCCCCACATGTCATCCCTCGGGCCTCGGTGTGCCTCCTGTGTCTGTGGGTGAGGTGGGCGCAGTTCCACGTGGCACCATCAGCAACTCGTCTTGCCACTCCGGCCCTGCTTCTGCTGCTGCTGCTACCACTACTGCTGCTGCTGCTGCCGACACAGGTGCTACTGCAGCTACTGCCGCTGCTGCAGCTGCTACTACTGCTGCTGCTGCCGCATCTGCCGTTTGTGCTGGCGCTGCTGCTACTGCGCCTGCTGGTGCGGATTCACACGCGGTCGCTAGTGCTTGTGGCGGGATGGACTTTAACGAGGACGACTGGGCCCTGGGAGATTCGTCGAAGCTGGGGTTTGAATTCCCGTGGGAGGCGAAGAGGGAGGTGGGGGAAGAGGTGGGGGAAGGGGAGGGGGAGGGGGAGGGGGAAGAGGAAAAGGAGGACGAGGATGAGGAGGATGAGGAAGAGGAGGAAGACGAGGAGGAGGAGAGGGAGAGGGAGAGGAAGAAGGTAGTGGTTCGTGGGCTGGTGGCAAAAGCAGTAGCGGCGTGTGGGGGTGTGGTGGAGGGGGAGATAGATGGAGTGTACTGTGTGAAGCGCGAGGGGAAGAGGTTGCGCTTACCATCCGACCATGGAGGGAAGGGCAAGTCGTTTGCTGCTGCTGCTGCCGCTGCTGCCGCTGCTGCCGCTGCTGCTGCTAATGCTGTTGCTGATTCTGGTGCTCTTGCTGCTTCTGCTGCGGGTGCTGGTGGTGGGTGTGGTGGTAATGCAATGGTGCTACCAGCAGGGCATGCAGGGGCGTCACAGCAAGCTCAGTATGCAAGCTCAGGCGTGGAAGAAGGGGAGGTGCAACAGAGCCTGCACCATCAGCAGCAGAATCACAATCAATATCAGCATCAGCAGTACCATCACCACGAGGAGCAGCAGCATCATCATCATCATCATCATCATCATCATCATCATCATCATCATCATCATCATCATCATCATCATCATCATCATCATCATCATCATCATCATCATCATCATCATCATCATCATCATCATCATCATCATCATCATCATCATCATCATCATCATCATCATCATCATCATCATCATCATCATCATCATCATCATCATCATCATCATCATCATCATCATCATCATCATCATCATCATCATCATCATCATCATCATCATCATCATCATCAGCAGCAGCAGCAGCAGCAGCAGCAGCAGCAGCAGCAGCAGCAGCAGCAGCAGCAGCAGCAGCAGCACGAGTTGCATGCGTTGCACGAGGAAGATCAACACCTGGCAGGGCTGACAGCAGAGGAGATGGAGCAAGCAGCGCACGGCATCACGTCTGCTGCAGCGGCAGCAGCAGCGCCACTGCACCATGTCCCGGCCCACCACTTCCCTGCTCTCTCCGCCCCCGCCGCCCTCCCCACCGACCACCACATGACTGCACACGCGTTCCCACATGGTATGGTTCTGAACGCCTTATTTCTTATTTTCTTCTGTGTCTTCCTTTTCCTTGTTAGCTGCTTGTGTCCTGCTGTTGTTATGTCGAACTGCCCTGCATCTGCTTGCCTGTTGCCTGTCTCCTGCCTGCCTCATGCGTTAGATTAACCCCACCTTCTCCCTCCTTCTGAACCTACCCGTCCATCTTACAACTTGCTACACGCATGCCATCACTGCCAACTCCCAATCAACCCTTCCATCTCCCAACCCGCTCTCCACGCTCCCCACTCTCCTCGTGCCACGCAGGCGGCAAGCTCATGCCAGCAACAGCAACAGCACCAGCAGCAGCAGGCGCAGCAGTGGCGGGCAAGAGCATGTGGGCAAGTCCCGGCATGCTGGCATCCGCCTTTTCAAGCAGTCTAGGGGATCTCATGGATCTAGGCGGGCCTGACGGCTGTGACCTCGCTCTTGCCATGGGGCTCCCCCCCTCGCCCCTGCACTTCCCTGCCATGCACCATGCGGGCGGGGACGTGCATGGGGTTGAGGGTGGGGGTGGGGGTGGGGGTTTGGATGGCGATGGGGAGGATGAGTTGGCGCAGGCACGTGCTGACGATGACGGGTTTGCTCTGTGTGCTGGTGCTGGTGCTGGTGGTGCGTTCGGGAGTGAAAGTGGGGATGTTGGTAACTGTGGGGCTGCTGCAGGGGATGGGGGAGGGGAGGGGAGTGGGCATGAGGAGCAGGGGGATCCCAGTGTGCATGGCGGATACCATGCTGCTGCTGCTGCTGCTGCTGCTGCTGCTGCTGCTGCTGCTGCTGCTGCTGCTGCTGCCTCGTTTCACCTTGCTGCGCATGCGGCTGATGCTGCTGCCACTGCCACTGCCGCTGCTGCTGGTGGGGTAGACGACACTGTCACGACCAGCCCTGCTGCTGCTGCTACTGCTGCTGCAGCAGCTGCCTCCAACGAAGAGGGGGCATCTGGTGATGATGGTGGTGCCACTCGCAGTGGTGTGAGCGCGGATCGCCCTGCTCTCTCCCATCTGGAGTCTGCTCAGGAACTGGCTGCTGCTGCGTCTCTCTGCGCCCCTATAGACGAGCAAGGGGACGAGGACCACCAACACCACCGCCACCAGCAGCAGCAGCAGCAGCAGCAGCAGCAGCAGCAGCAGCAGCAGCAGCAGCAGCAGCAGCAGCAGCAGCAGCAGCAGCAGCAGCAGCAGCAGCAGCAGCAGCAGCAGCAGCAGCAGCAGCAGCAGCAGCAGCAGCAGCAGCAGCAGCAGCAGCAGCAGCAGCAGCAGCAGCAGCAGCAGCAGCAGCAGCAGCAGCAGCAGCAGCAGCAGCAGCAGCAGCAGCAGCAGCAGCAGAAGGAGGAGCAGCGGCAGGAGTTGAGCGAGGGGAATGTGGGGGACGTGATAATGGAGGATGCCACAAGGCGCATGGACCTGGAGATGCAGTTGCATCAGCGGCAGCATCAGCATCAGCTGCAGCATCAGCATCAGCTGCAGCACCAGCGACAGCAAATGGTGCATCAGCATCATTGCCGTTACCAGCAGCAGCAGTATCTGCAATATCAGCATGACGCGTGCTCAGGTGGGGGATATCCTTTCAACACTCACCACCACCCGCACCTTGCCTCTGCACATCATCATCATCATCAGCAGCAGCAGCAGCAGCAGCACCAACAACTCCAGCTGCAGCAACAGCAGCAACATGAGACTGGCACCACCACCACCGCCACCAACAACAATGGCTGCAGCAGCAGCATGGAGCAGCACGCATCCCTCGGAGAATCAGCCCCCCGGTCTGGCCCTTCTAAGCCTTGCCGCTGCCACCAGCAGCACCAGCATCAACATCCGGCCCACCCATTCACTGCCAGCATCACTGGTGCCACTGGGACCTCTACCGCCCCTTCCGCCTCCTCTCTCCACTCGTACGCACATGCCCAATCCGGCAGTCACCCTCACTCCCAACCTCACTCGCTCCACCTCTCCCACCCTCACTCCTCAGCCTTCCTCTCGCACTCCAGCCATCACCCACACTCTCTTCCCATGTACAGCCCTTCTTCCCCTGCTGCTGCCGCTGCTGGCACATCACTGCCAGCGCTCCCCTTGATCCCCACACTCCGCTCCTCCATGCCCTTCATGCCATGCCGGATGCACCCAACAGCAGAGACTGCTGGTGCCTCCTGGGGCAACCCGTTTACCTCTCATCGCCCGTTTACGCCGTTCTCCTCGCTCCACCACCCACCCCTGGGATTGCTGCCCCCATCCGCAGAAGCAGCAGCAGCTGCTGCTGCAGCTGCGGCGGCGGCTCATGCAGGGGCGATGTTGGGAGGTGATACAGGAGCGGGGCTTATGTCAGGTGCGTCTTTGTCGGGCCTGGGGTCGGCACCGTTAGGCCTGCCTTGGTACAATGGCTTGGGCCAGCAGCAGATGGGGTATCCGCCTGCTTCTCCTGCTTCCGCTGCTGCTCTGACGCCTTCTGGAATGCTTGCTGGCGCTCCGAATGCTCCTGGTGGTGGTGATGGCGGTGCTGCTGCACAGTGGTCTTTGGAACATCACCATCAGCATCAGCAGCAACAGCAGCACCAACACCAGCACCAGCAGCCGAGCTTACAGGACGGACAGAAGCAACACCAGCAGCAGTTACAGCAGCAGTTGCAGCAGGAGCAGGAGCAACAGGATGGTGGTGAGAGCAGCGGGCAGGCACACAGGGCTCAGGACGGGTCATCCGCGTCCTCGGTCGCCAATGCTGCACTCAATGTCGCCTCACCTGCTGATCCCACAGCGTCTGTGTCAGCCTCTGCTGCCTCTGCCTCTCTCACGCCGCCTGCAGGAGCTGCTGGAGCCGTGGCAGGCGCCAGTGCGGGCCCCAATGCCATCATTGTCGATTCATGTGCTGCCCTTCCTAACTCTACGCCTAACCCCACCGCTGCTGCTGCCACAGCCGCTGCCGCTGTCACCACCCCTTCCACGGCCCCTGCAACATCCACCACTACCACCACCTCCCACCCACTCCCGCACTCGCACCATCAGCAGCAACTCATTCTGGCCTCCACTGGCTCTTCCCTTGCTGCTGCTGCAGCTGCTGCAGCAGGAGGAGCAGCAGGGTCCTTGTATCGCTACACCCCGATGCGCCATGCTCCCCTGCCCTACACCCACCCCCACCCTGCTTTCTACCCCGATGCTACAGCAGCTCGGTACCTCTCACCTGCCATGGGACTGGCTCCTTTGCACGACTCCCATCTGCACCCCCCCCACGGCATGCATTCCGTGTGCACTACCAGGCGCACCAGCAGTGCCAGTGCCAGTGCCAGTGCCAGTGCCAGTGCCAGTGGCCATGGCAGGGGAGGTGGCGGGGGAGGTGGCGGGGATTTTTGCAGTAGCCGTATGCATGGTGTTGGGAGGGAGTTTGGGAGGAGGGAGCTAGGGAGAGAGTATGGAGCAAAGGAGCAGTGTGTGCAGGCATGCTGCAACCCTGTTGCTCCTGCTTTAGGTGGATCTACTACTGCTTCAGCCGCTTCCGCTGCACATACATTCGAAGGCTTCTGAAGCCGATCCGTAGACGGTTCTCGCTGCATGGGTGGTTTTTCTCGCACCCAAGCGTAATCTTGTCTCTCCACTTTCTCCTTGTTAAATCTGGAGCTTTTATAGGTGGGTGGATGGTGTCATAGACATTGTTTTCCTGTAATTGTGCATATATGTATATGGTACCGGTACATGTAGATTGTGTATACCTGTGCAGCTTTAAATGGCAACACAGCTATTTTTCAGCACCAGAGTCAGATCTTGCCTCTCCCTTGATATCTCTGAAACTCCCGAACAAGTGTTTTAATTTGTATATACCGTCATCACCCGGATATAAGACAGTGTTGAATAGTAGACAGGGGTTGTCTACTATACGGGTGTCTCTTATAAACAGGCTAGCCTCATTATAAGACACCTATTTGTGTGTATGAGATAAGACATATATGTCTTATAATCGAAACTTCAATAAATTATAGCGAAAGTTGAAGTACCGCGTACTTTTTTACCCTTGCGAAGCGCGAATTCTTCCACGCGCTGACCCAGGACCTACCAAATTTGCCCCTGCAGGTGTTCTCCATAACGTGGCGTCTCGGGCAGAGGTTATCGAAGTGGCACCTTCGCAACATCCATACGCATTATGAGAAACTCTTTTTAAAGAAGTACGGAAAATATTTCTAAGTAGTTTAAAAAGTTTCCATTTATAAGACTTATAAGACACCCTAAACCATCCCGTTTACAAGATAACTCAAGCATTTTTGCCCGTGTACGAGATAAGACATATATGTCTTATATCCGGGCGATGACGGTAGCGGCTTCCGGTACTTATCGAGCATGCTCTCATAATACATGATTATACATGTCCATTGTTAGAGCAGATCATGTGAAGAGTTCTTTAACCGAAATTGTGATCAGCAAGAACTAGTGAGATACGCTTTGTGCGGGCATGACAAGTGATAATGGTGGCCGACGCTTTGCGGAGATAAACTACACAACGGGAGCTAGATGTCAAATTACATTTGTATGCTTCTAGGCTGTAGTGGGGCATACTCTAGTGAGTACAACCCTTTAGGGTTTCATACTTGTACTCATCCAGCTGCTCAATGCAATCATCCATGCACAGTGATTCTGACATGGTATTCAGAGCAGGAAACCTGTTAGGTTTTTAGGGCCCACCGATCGTTCCGCTAGTTCCTGCCCGAAGCGCCCTTGCGCTGTCTGGCCCTCTCGCACAGTGTCACGCTGCCCTGCAGCTACTCGCACTGCCTGCCCTAGCGCGCTGCCCTGCTGTCACGCGCGCCACTGATGCCCACGAGCAGCCCCTGCCTCGAGCGCCACTGCTGCCCGCGAGCAACCCCTGCCTCGAGCGCCACTGCTGCCCGCGAGCAGCCCCTGCCCCGAGCGCCCCTGCTGCCCATGAGCAGCCCCTGCCCCGAGCGCCAGTGCTGCCCGCGAGCAGCCCCTGCCTCGAGCGCCACTGCTGCCCTCGAGCAGCCCCTGCCTCGGGCGCCACTGCTGCCCGCGAGCAGCCCCTGCCCCGAGCGCCCCTACTGCCCCGAGCGCCCCTGCTGCCCGTGAGCAGCCCCTGCCCTGCGCGTCGCGCCCTGCTGCAGCCCGCGCGTCGCGCTCTGCTGCAGCCCGCGCGTCGCGCCCTACTGCAGCCCGCGCGTCGCGCTCTGCTGCCCCGCGCGTCGCGCTCTGCTGCAGCCCGCGCGTCGCGCCCTGCTGCCCTGCACAGCGCGCGCTTTGCCCGCGCCGCCCAGGCCGAGCCGCGCCGTCCAGCCCGAGCCGCCCTGCCCAACCCGAGCCGCCCTGCTGCTACTACTGCTGCTGCTGTGCTGGAGGTGCTGGACCTACTACTGACCGTCACTGTCTGTCATGGCCACTAGCGCGGCAGTTTCAGCGGCTTGGGGTGGACATCAGCGGGTACTACCTCTCCCGGACGACCCCACCCCTCAGCAACTTCATGAGTGGGTTGTTCAGCGAGGCCGTCTTGGTGGTGGGGGTTTTGGTTTTATGTGGCCTCAGCGACCTCGCGACTGTGCTAATCAGCGATGCGTCCCTGGTTGTGTAGAGGTTGCTGCTCTTGGTTCTAGTGAGTCTGCTGCCGCTCCAGGTTCTAGTGAGTCTGCTGCTGCTCCAGGTGCTGGTGAGTCTGCTGCAGCTCTAGGTGCCCGTGAGTCTGCCGACGCTCTAGGTGCTAGTGCGTCTACTGCCACAGGTCCTGCCTCAGCTGAGGCCTTGCACACTTTCACGCTTGACTCAGACGCGTCACGTTGCTTCTTTCGTGATTGCACCACAGTCACACCACTCACAGCACCTGTCCCAGTCTCACTGGCTGACCCCTCTGGGGCCCCAGTAGTTGCGCGAGCCTCCACTGTCCTCCCGTGTCCAGCAGTCCCCTCCGGTTCACTGTCAGGTCTCCACCTCCCCACGTTCTCTACGAACTTGGTAAGCAACGCTGCCATTCAGGATGTCTGGGTTGATACCTTTATTCCTGGAGGGCAGCGTGTGGCGATCTGTACGTGCTCTCGGACTGGCCGTCACCTAGCTACGTTCACTCGACAGCCTGGGTCTAGTGTGTACACACTGACCACTGCGTCTGCACAGGTGGCTGAGTCAGGTCAGGTGGCTGCGTCGAGTCGGGCGTCTGCGTCGGGACAGTTAGCTGCGTCTTGCTCGTGCAGAGTACTCACGCACAAGACTCAGCGCTGGCACCACCGTCTTGGTCACCCCTCCCTGCCGCGTCTACGCAGCATGCACTCTCGTCTCCTTGTCTCTGGCCTCCCCAGGACCCTGCCCCCCCTGGCGCGCTCGCTTGCCCCGCCGTGCCTTCCTTGCGTCGAGGGGCGGCAGCGCGCCGCTCCTCACTCCTCCGAGTTTCCTCCGACCACTGCTCCTCTGCAGACTCTCCACATGGATGTGTGGGGCCCGGCCCCCATCGGTGGAACGGACCGCGAGCACTACTTCCTGCTGGTTGTTGACGACTACACACGCTACACCACTGTCTTCCCCTTGCGGCGCAAGGCGGACGTCACCGGTGTCCTGATCCCCTTGATCAGTGCTACTCGTCTCCAGCTGCACGAGCGGTTTCAGCAGGACTTCCCAGTCCTGCGTCTACACTCTGACAGGGGCGGTGAGTTCTCTTCTGACCTCCTTGCGGGGTTCTGTCGAGACGAGGGCATCCGCCAGACGTTCACGCTTCCGGCCTCTCCTCAGCAGAATGGGATTGCTGAGCGTCGCATTGGCTTGATTATGGAGGTTGCTCGCACCTCCATGATCCATGCGGCTGCTCCCCGTTTTCTGTGGCCGTTTGCGGTCCGATACGCTGCGCATCAGCTCAACCTCTGGCCTCGTGTCTCTGCGCCAGAGACCTCGCCCACACTCCGGTGGACGGGGAAGCCTGGTGATGCGTCAGTGTTTTGGGTCTGGGGCGCGCTCTCCCTTGTTCGCGATGCCAAAGCGAGCAAGCTCTCCTCTCGCACTCTCCGCTGCGTCTTCCTTGGCTTCCCCACTGATGCCCCGCCGTGGCAGTTCTACCACCCGCACTCGCGTCGAGTCATCTCCTCCCAGGACGTCACCTATGACGAGTCTGTCTGTTTCTACCAGTTACACCCGCACGCGTCCCACCCGGTTCCCCTAGCACCCCTCTTCCTGGTACCAGTCCCCCCCCCCGGTAGACCCCCTCCCCCCACAGGGTCCTGCTCCCTCATGTGTGTCTCAGGTCGACCCACCCCCCTTGGATGAGCCAGTGGAGATCTCTTCTGACTCCTCTGGCCCAGCTGAAGGGGGTGACCCAGTTGCGGACGACACGGCGGCCACTCGCCGCTCTCCACGCTTGGAGACCCCCCCGGGTTTTCCGCCTCGACCGTCTTCGCCGCCTCCGCGGCCTGCTGCTGTGGACTCTGGAGCTGAGACTACAGGTGCTGGCCCTGCTCTGCCGCCGCCTCGTCGCGGCCCTGCCCTACAGCCGCCCCGTTGCGGCCCTGACCTAACCGCCCATCGCGGCCCTGCCCTGCACCCGCCCATGGTAAGCGCCCCTGCTGCCCGTCGCGTCGCGCGCCCCTGCTGCCTGCCGCGCCGTGCGCCCCTGCAGCCCGTCCCGTCGCGCGCCCCTGCAGCCCGTCGCGTCGCCCGTCGGCCCTGCCCGTGCCCGTCACGTCGCCAAAGCGGGCTGCCCCAGCCCGCCGCGACGCCCGTCCGCCCTGCCTGCCTACGCGCCGCCCCTGCCCGCCCCGCGTCGCGCCGCCCCGTGCAAGCTGCCCGCGCGCAGACCCTTGCAGCCCGCGCGCCGCCCGTCTGCAGCCCGCGAGCCTCCCCTGCAGCCCGCGAACCGTCCCTGCAGCCAGCGCGCCTGCCTCTTGCAGCCAGCGCACTGCCCCTGCAGCCCGCGAGCCACCCCTGCAGCCCGCGAGCCGCCTCTGCAGCGCCCAGTGCGCCCTGCCAAACCCTAAAATAAATTAAAAAAAAAAAAAAAAAAAAAAAAGAGGAGCCCTAGGTGCTGCTGCCCTAGGAGCTACTGCTTGCTGCTGCCTGCTACTGCCCTGCTCTGGCCGCACGCCGCCCTTCTGGCCGCGCGCCGCCTTTTTTCCTGACAGTGCACCGCCTCGACCTACCCTAGTGCCTGTTCGCCGCCCTGCCTTTCCACTATGACGTCTTTTCGTGGTAGCAGTGGGAGTGGTGGTGGCGGTGGTGGCAGCAGTGGGAGTGGTGGCGGCGGCCGCAGTGGCAGTCTAGGCGGAGCTGCTCGGTGGGGAGGTTCTGGCGGTGGCCAGATACAACTCCAGCGACGTCCGCGCGAGACCCTTACGCCCCTGCAGCTGCGTGAGTGGTACGCTCAGAGTAGAGGGTCTCGGAGTACTGCTCGCTGCCCGTACGTCATTCGCACAGGTGATCGGGCTGGTC